TTTGACGTGTTTCCCCGTGTTCTTTCCTGACATTATACACTTTATTATCATACCACTTCGTTACTCCTTCAGTTTGCTTGAGCTCATATCCAATATGCACAGGAGAGGTAGAAGTCGAAGGTCAGGAATTGATGATTTGTCTACACCCACAGTCTGTTCGACGCCCCAGGTCGTACCAAACCACGAAACCGCTGGCCCTTCCGACTCGATCAATGGCTCGCACACTACAATATATTACAACGAAGAAAGTCGCGATACGGCATTATAAATAGACATAAATTCATCACAACACATTGTGGTTCAACTATTCTAAAAAATCCTCAATAACGTATTTTATGTACTCTTCAACCCCCAAAATAATTTTAATTTATGCTGTTATCAGCAATGATAATACGTATTATACGTATTGATGCTATAACATTAATAGAAATAATCGATATCTACAGGGTTTCCCTTACTAGATTTACTTATTTATTACCTGAAGCATTTAGAAGCAGGAATATTGATAAGCAGACGCATAAAACTCAAAATAATAGCGAAGCAGAATAGAGATTCTCCTATAGACGAATCATTATAATGATGTCCTACCTCCATAAACAGACCTTAACATTTTGAAACTCTGCCGTTACAACCCTTGCTAACAACAACGTATACAGCTTATTAAAAGCATTCATAATACAAAGCTAATATTGAAATCTAGCAAGCCGAATATATTTTCAGTTCATGAACTTTTACTGTGTGAAAAATTTTGATCCTCCTTTAAGTTCTTTCTTTGCGACATAAAATTGAATGTGAGGTACAATAAAAACGTGTATGACGCCTTATTCAAAATAGGACATTAACATATGACAATTTGGGCGTGAGTCGGACAAGAAATGGGATCTTACGCATAATTATTATTGTGTATATTTATTACAGTACCTCGAGGGACACTACTTACAACTGTGGTAGCACTAGTGGAAGATGCTCTATCTACGTTCAGTAAGCACTTATATTTTACCGTTAAACTATCCAAAATTTGCGGTGGTAGAAGAGAACTGTTGTTTCTGGGTCGTTCTGAAAACCAATTACTCGTAGTCGTTGGTTTTGTGTATCGCCCACCAAACGCAGTGAGTATTACGATGTTTGGCTCTCGCAGGCATGTTATGCCGCGGCCGACTTAATTACAGTTTAATTTAGTCTTCCTGAATTTCAATGGCTTGGTCTCGGACAAATGAGTCTAAGTTTTTATTAAATGCATGGCAACTTTGGACAAATGATCTCGCCTCTGAACTGTTAATTTCTGTTTGTCGTTGTGTAGATGCCGGTTTTACTAGTTGACCACAACATATTGCACTACAACTGCCACATGTAACCCACTTTTTTCTGTCC